CCATGTCAAATTCAAGATCAACCTTTTTGCTGATTCCCAAGCTGATTTTACTGTGCTGAGAATACTAGAACCCGCCCCAAAGGTCAGTAGATACCCTGCAAGTATTTTTCCTCTTTAAATAAGAATTAAGTGTTATGATCACTTTTCTATCTCAGTATTGATCTAGGTTGTAATCTTTTTTTCCCAGTCAAGAATCCTATTATAATTTCTTTACTGGCTAATGTTATATTTGGATATTATAATATCAGGGATAAGGTTATATGATTCACAAAGATGGATCATCTTCATCTATTGCGAGTGGGCCTGCATCTTCTCAACCCTCCTCTTATCAGTCTGGACAGTCTGCTACTGAAAAATCGATTGAAACACTAGTGGACTCTGATGCAACTCCAGACAACAAACTGTAGAGGAAGATGCCCTTGGAGTGAGTGCAACGCCAACAAAGAATTTGTTGCAGCTAGGATCTTTTTATTGCATTTGTTTTGTGTTCCAGAGTTTGTCATGTGTTTGCAAAGGACTGAATGTTGCTGGTTTGCACTTGGACTTAGGATTGTGAACATATTTTAGATTCGTAAGCTTTTTCTGAATATTTCAATTGGGCATTATGTAGCCTATACATATCTAATTTCACTATTACTAAATTTGTTTTGAATTTTTGGAATGGTTCCAAATTCCATACTGATGCCAGAGATGGTCGTGGTTGCATGCCCATTAAGACCCGAGCTGAATTTCTATGGCCCATTTGGTATGGTTTATCAATCTTATTAATTTATAACTTCCTTTGATCTGCCAAGCCAAATGCTCTTTCAGCATTGTCTCATAAATTATAAATTCATGATCCATTTGTTTTCTATTGGTCCTTTTTCCTCAGTTCTGCCCCACTTAAATTTTTTCTCAATTGATCATTTCATCGTGTTTGAGTCAATTCTTAGTTGGCATCTTTCATGTTTGATGGGGTAGCTGAGATTGGGATGATGGTAGTAATATTGATTAGTGAGCACAAGGGTAGCAAGTGAGTTACACTAGATAATAAATGATGAAATGCAAATATGTAGTATGTCCGTATCCAACGTAAGTTGTAAATAAAAAAAGTTCAACATAGAAACGTATTTATTCTTGATAAGTTGTTGCAAAAGTGGTTGGCAATCTAACGGTTACAAGTTAATCGTATCACCAGTATGTTAAAAGTTGGAAACCTAAAATAGACAATTTTTTTTTGAAAATCAGTTTTACAAGTAAAAATTGGTATGGTTTAAAAAATGCAACATAGAAATGTAATAAGTCTGGATAAGGAGAAGCAAAATTGCTTGGCAGTCTAACGGTTATAAGTTGATAGTATCATCAATAGGTCAGAAGTTTGAAACTTAAAATTGACAATTTTATTTTCAAAATTACATAATTTAATCGTATCATTAGTAAGTTAAAAGTTTGAAACCTAAATTTGACAATTTTGTTTTTCAACATCACTTTTAAAACTAAAAATTGGTGTGGTTTAAAAATGCAACATAGAAATGTAATAAGTATGGATAAGATGTTGCAAAATTGCTTGGTGGTCTAACGAATACAAGTTGATTGTATCATCAATAGGTTAGAAGTTTGAAACTTAAAATTAACAACCATTTTTTTTCTTTAAAATCACTTTATTTAATCGTATCATCAGTAAGTTAAAAGGATAACACCTAACATTGGCAATTTTGTTTTTCAAAATCACTTTTAAAAGTAAAAATTAGTGTGGTTTAAAAAATGCAATGTAGAAATGTAATAAGTCTGGATAAGCTGTTGCAAAATTGCTTAATAGTCTTTCGTATTACAGATCTTTCTTTTCTTGCAATCGAAATTCCTATATTTGAGAAATCCCATCACCAAGAAAAGGATTTTATTGATGATAAAAGGGACAGACGATTACAAACAGAAACCCTAGCCGAGGCAATCTAATTAGCCCCTTAAACTCTCAGCAATGAACTAATTACTTCCCAACTTCAAGTTTTCCAGTTTTACAAACACTATGACAGAGCTACTGAAGCAATAAATGGACCCAATGCAGAAGAAGAACTTCTATAGTTTCATTCGTTGCAAACTGCCAATTTTTACAGTGAGATGTGATACCTAATTTGTAGGCAGTCGAGGAAAATGGTCGTTTGAGGAGAGGTGACCATTTTGCTAGAATCTCATGATGCCTCCTTTCGAGAAGCTTTTGTAGAGATCTTGAGCAGAATGTCGAGAGCAAATTTTTCGATACTAAGTGAGGAGAAGGAAGAGAGCCATGTTTTTGTATGAGGGCCATAGCGAAGAAATTGGAATCGGCAGCACCATAGGGAAGGAAATTAGGTTAGGGCGGTGGTCGCACGGCGGCGGGAGAAGGAAGCAGGGAAGAGTTGTCTCAATTGGAATAAGATGACCCCTTCCACAGAACCAATCCCACGGGCCAGCTTTTCTTGGGCTTTTCCAACTGAGAATTGTGTTGGGCTTTTAAATTAATTTGGCGATATCATTCCGCAGCAGCATTTCTCTGCTAGATTGATTCCCTCTTTACCATTACAGAGATTTTCCCCTTCCCCTTTCTTCCGTTCTTCCTCCTCCTCTCTCTCGCTCTCTCTCCCTATATTTCTGTTTTTTTTATTTGTGCTAAATTGGTTTGCTAGTTGGCAGTCTCACTACACTATCTCATATAATGAATTGAAGGGATTTGGGACTAAAATGCATTAATAGTAGTACTGTTGTATAACTAAATTAAATAATAATGATTTGGGACTAAAATGCATTAATAGTAGCAATCAAGTCACATCTACTACGACTAATTTGTTCAAAGTACCATAACTAAATTAAATTCATATTTTACATCAAGTACCACCTCAAAAGGATAATAAACTTACAAAAGATATTAGCGTTCACATATCCATTACGCTTACAGATCATTAGAGATTACAGAGAGGTGGATCATTACTAACATTAATCCGATCATATTAATAATACCCAATGCTACTTAGTTATCTAAAGGCGGGAACAACTTAACCAAGAAGAGATCAAGATAATTCCCCACGTCGTTCCAAGGACCGAATGTGACCAAGACCTCATATGCCTTCTCACCAATCATGTTGAGAAGTGTAACATAGTCCGCATTTTGAATCTCAGAAGGACTGACAACAGAAGACATGATTCTCCGTAAGTAAGCTGATGGGAACACGACCTCAACATCAGTAATGTCATCTTCAATGGTCAAGTGAATCAAATATACCCTGGATGCCTCACACCAAGATCTGCTCAACTCTGTTACAACGCCAGAGAAAATGTACGACTTGCCCTGATATAATCCAAAACATAAGGAGTTCAAAATAATACCAAATCAGATGCAAATCATTGAGATAAGAGATAGAGAAGGATAGATGATAAACATGTTATCTTAGTCACCTGATTACCACCATTCAATTGGATTGGAATAAGATCTATAGTTTCCACGGTCTCCCAAATTGCTACGGCAGTTTGATAGTTTAGATTCGTAACGAAATCGTCTCCCATGGTAAAAAAACCTATAATTTAGATTATTAGCAATATTAGCAACTGTATTGAGAAGGTATGAGAACACAAGAATATGTTTATTATGAGTTGGTTAGGAAGCAATTACTTACGGTTCCATTCAGGTATTATATCCATTTTCAAATATATGTAACTTATTTCCTTCTACTCAATCTCTATTATTGGAAGTAGCTGCCTTTTTTAGGATCATAAAAATAAACAATGTTAGTTGTTGTTTGGGACCACAATGTATATTACACTTCCAATGTTGAATTAATAACTAATTCGTATTCATTTGAACAATACCAAATAGACTCTGATCAATTATATCAACAAAGGTTAGAGTTCTTACACTAATCAACTAATCATGTAAAACAGAATATAAACAAACAATAGCAAAGCAAGACATGACTCTGTCAATCCTTCGATGAATTTTTCAATTGGACCTGGATTTTACTTCTTTTGACTTATTCATCTTTGATTCTTACCTGGATAATCGATTCTTAACTATAACAATATATACTGTTTTATGGAACTCCAATGGAAACTGTTATACCCATGACTGAACTCCACTATGTATTGAACAAACAATATACAATGTTTTGTTTGTATGCAACACACACTACGTAATCATATCCAAGAAAATAATATTGAAATATACGTCCTCAACTATGGATTAATGCTGTGTTACAATCGAATAAATCATAACTAATCATGTCCCTTATTTTAATAGATCCAACCACATTGTATGAGAAACCATGGAAACAAACACACCTGTGAAGCTCGCAAGGTTTTGCTCGGAGTCTCGAACTGAAACACTTTCTGAAATCTAAGATGTTAGTAGATCGGGAGAAAAAAAAGTTCAATGATAGTATTCGTAGTCCAGTTTAGATCTAATACCTTCACATAATCTGGATTCGTTTCGGGAACCGTCGACTGGAGTTATCAGAGGCAAGAAAAAACTTCGTTGCTGTTGAGAGACTGAAAGAAAAGATGTTGCGAGGTAGGGTTTTGGGAACCGTCGAGTGGAACTGAGAATACAGTCGGTCACGCAGACAGGAGGACACCAAACGGCGTGCATGCAATGAATTTGGTGGCCGTTTGCTGTCTTCGGCGGAGAATGAAGAGAGGCATGGAAGGGAAGAAGGAAGCTGAACCGTTTTCGTCTTTGATGTTGGGTTACTATTTTTTAGTTTAGTAAATTTACTCAGTTTATAAAAGTAAAGGGGAAAACATTGGGCCTTTAATTCATTTGATAAAGGAAACACACTTTCTACTGGGCCTTCTATTGAATTGCAATATATAGCATGCTATGCTTTATGGCTGGATTAATGGACCTCTAGCCGGCCAACGGGTCGGCCCACAAACATGTTTGTTTGCAAGATCAGTTTTTGAAACATCTTAGATATTTATTTCAAATTCATGTAGGGGTGATGTTGTCAAAGTGGTTATTTGGGGAAGAGTTTTTCAACAGTTTGATAAGTTTGATGCTCATGGTGATGATCAGACTATACTGGTCATTTCAGCTGTTAGTGTGGGTGAATTCAAAGGTGACCTTATTATTTCTTCCCTATCTTACATTTAATAATGTTATGAGTGGCAAGACCAGACTGATTTTTGGTTTTTGTAGATGAGTTATCATTTTCATCATCAGGGTCAACAGTTGTGTATCGTAACCTCGATATTCCAGCTGTCAAAGCTTTTGCTACCGGGTATTCATCACCCTACTGTGTCTATGACATTGCGTTGTTGTTTAGTTTTTGTTTAATTATTGATTTTTTTATTCATCAAATCAGTACTGTGCAACCAGAGCTTCCTGTCTTTGTGGCACCACCGCCACCTCCTCAATTCCCTGTTATTTCACTTTCTGAACTTTTGCAATTACAAGAGGATACGGACCAGGAGGTTACTTCTATGGTCTTTCATATTTCTTATAATATTTGCATTTTCATTTCATTAGAGACTCATAGTAAATGTATTTGGTATTAGGAAATGGTGTTTGCTGTTGAATGCAAAGTTGTTGGAATTAAATCAGGCTGGTGTTATATGGGGTGTCCTACCTGTGTTTTGAAGCCTATACAAAGGCAAAATGAGTACTATTGTGTTAGATGCAACAAGGGAATATCAGCCAAGGCTGCCAAGTAAACATCTCCTACTTAGTTGACATTCATTATTCTTCCTCATTGAACTGTAATTGCTTCCATTAAATTCGTGATTTGTGTAGATACCGTGTTCAACTTGAAGTTCAAAGTGATTTGAAGTCAGCAGTATTTGTACTCTTTGAGTATGAAGGGAAGCGGTACTTTGGATTGAGTGGTCATGAACTATTCCAGAAAAATGGGCAGAATGGTGACTTGCCACCTGATGAATTGCTTCAATTGGTAGGTCTGACCAAGAAATTCCATGTCAAATTCAAGATCAACCTTTTTGCTGATTCCCAAGCTGATTTTACTGTGCTGAGAATACTAGAACAACGCAAAGGTCAGTAGATACCCCTGCAAGTATTTTTCCTCTTTAAATAAGAATTAAGTGTTATGATCACTTTTCTATCTCAGTATTAATCTAGGTTGTAATCTGTTTTTCCCAGTCAAGAATCCTATTATAATTTCTTTACTGGCTAATGTTACATTTGGATATTATAATCTCTGGGAGAAGGTTATATGATTCACAAAGATGGATCATCTTCATCTATTGCGAGTGTGACTGCATCTTCTCAACCCTCCTCTGATCATTCTGGACAGTCTGCTACTGAAAAATCGATTGAAACACTAGTGGACTCTGAGGCAACTCCAGACAACAAACTGAAGAGGAAGATGCCCCTGGAGTGATTGCAATGCCAACAAAGAATTTGTTGCAGCTAGGATCTTTTTATTGTATTTATTTTGTGTTCCAGAGTTTGTCATGTGTTTGCTAAGGACTGAATGTTGCTGGTTTGCACTTGGACTTAGGATTGTGAACATATTTTAGATTCGTAAGCTTTTTCTGAATATTTCAATTGGGCATTATGTAGCCTATACATATCTAATTTCACTATCACTAAATTTGTTTTGAATTTTTGGAATGGTTCCAAATTCCATACTGATGCCAGAGATGGTCGTGGTTGCATGCCCATTAAGACCCGAGCTGAATTTCTATGGCCCATTTGGTATGGTTTATCAATCTTATTAATTTATAACTTCCTTTGATCTGCCAAGCCAAATGCTCTTTCAGCATTGTCTCATAAATTATAAATTCATGATCCCTTTGTTTTCTATTGGTCCTTTTTCCTCAGTTCTGCCCCACTTAAATTTTTTCTCAATTGATCATTTCATCGTGTTTGAGTCAATTCTTAGTTGACATCTTTCATGTTTGATGGGGTAGCTGAGATTGGGATGATGGTAGTAATATTGATTAGTGAGCACTAGGGTAGCAAGTGAGTTACACTAGATAACAAATGATGAAATGCAAATATGTAGTATGTCCGTATCCAACGTAAGTTGTAAATCAAAAAAAGTTCAAAATAGAAACGTATTTATTCTTGATAAGCTGTTGCAAAAGTGGTTGGCAATCTAACGGTTACAAGTTAATTGTATCACCAGTAAGTTAAAAGTTGGAAACCTAAAATTGACAATTTTGTTTTTTAAAATCACTTTTACAAGTAAAAATTGGTATGGTTTAAAAAATGCAACATAGAAATGTAATAAGTCTGGATAAGGAGAAGCAAAATTGCTTGGTAGTCTAACGGTTGTAAGTTGATCGTATCATCAATAGGTCAGAAGTTTGAAACTTAAAATTGACAATTTTATTTTCAAAATCACTTAATTTAATCGTATCATTAGTAAGTTAAAAGTTTGAAACCTAAAATTGACAATTTTGTTTTTCAACATCACTTTTAAAACTAAAAATTGGTGTGGTTTAAAATGCAACATAGAAATGTAATAAGTCTGGATAAGATGTTGCAAAATTGCTTGGTGGTCTAACGATTACAAGTTGATTGTATCATCAATAGGTTAGAAGTTTGAAACTTAAAATTAACAACCATTTTTTTCTTCAAAATCACTTAATTTAATCGTATCATCAGTAAGTTAAAAGGATAACACCTAACATTGGCAATTTTGTTTTTTAAAATCACTTTTAAAAGTAAACATTGGTGTGGTTTAAAAAATGAAATGTAGCAATGTAATAAGTCTGGATAAGCTGTTGCAAAATTGCTTAATAGTCTTTCCTATTACAGATCTTTCTTTTCTTGTAATTGAAATTCCTATATCTGAGAAATCCCATCACCAAGTATTTCACTATGCTCAAACCTATTGTTTTGAATGTCTGAATCATTGAATCAAGAGTATTTATTTTTGGAGTGATTTAAATAAAGTATTCAATTTATTTCTTTGGTAACGTACTCTTAGTAGTAATGAAGCTGATTCCGGCGAATAATCTACACCAAAACAAATAATTATCCATGTCCTCAAACTAATTTTAGTCAAGTTCTGATGAGTTGTTACCGCAAAAAAGCTTTAGAGCCCATAATGTTCAGTTACTATTCACAAAAACAACCCCAAAACTTAAAAGCCTGTTAATCAGTATAATAAAATGGGCCAAAACCAAAGCCCAATCAAATTTTGGTCGCCATTCAGATATATAAGGAACAAAATGGGCCATATAAAATACCTCCATCAGCTAAAAGAGGTTGTACAAAACCAAACAGAGCGGCTTCTGTTTGTCTCCTTGGTCAGCTTGTTTTCACGAAAGGGGAAACCCTAGATTCTTACCCCGCAGCTGCCGCCGTTCTAGTCCCCCATCTCCTGCAGTCGACCCCATACATAATTTACGGCAAGTATTAGCTATTTATTCTATTCTTTCTATTTCTTTTCCCTTTGTTTTCCTCATTTTGTCTTCTTTCACAGTTGGAGTAAGAAGCTATTGCTGCCCCAAAACTCTATCACAACCGATCTGTTATTTTCGGCGACAACAAAAGGGAAAATGTTGCCGCAAGACCCACATGGTATCTTACAATTAGTCGAATAGAGGTTTGTCCGAATGCTTTTAGATATAATGACTCAGTTTCGCTTTTGGTTTTAGATGTAATGGCTGAATCAACAACCTTTCGTGAACTTCATCTTGGCAAAAAGCAACCGTTTCCTCATGGCTAGATTGTTAAACATTTGGCCAGAATGTGAGTCAGATGGAACTAGATCTATTACCTCCATGCATATGCTTTGGTTAGATAAAGAGGTAAAATTATAAACATTGAACACCTACTGGTTTTACTCTTATCACAGAACAGTTACTTTAAGCTCATTTGTAACATTTTAACTCCTTTAGGGACAACTTATGGAAAGAAATGTACCCTATGAAGATTCTGCTCATATTTGCAAAGACATTGAGATTGGTTGTCCCTATACCATGATGAATCCAACTGTCATACCAGCTAGATCTAAGCGTCGCACTGCACCTTCCAATTTGAGATTGTATTTTACAAAGGAATCTTCATTCAAAGCAATGATCGAATATCGGAGCACAATGCATTTTCCAGATGATTATTTTTTTCAAAGTCCTTTCAATGGTAGTGGTTCTTCAACAAGTCTTCCACCTTGCTTCTCAGGTATTCATTGTTTATACTTAACCCATTGATTTCAACAGGTTGTATTAGAAATTGATGTGCTAAATATTGTATATTCCAAACATCATAAAGATCAAAACAACTAAAATATTTACATATTTCAGATATCACAGGATGTGTAACGCATATCACCGAACCAGCTAAAGTCAATTATGATACATCTATGTTCTAGATTTATCTTGAAGATATGAGGTATCACTTATAATTAGTTACTATAATGTCTTACTGAATCAAGATTAGTCTATAATCATACTTATACTCCGTTTGCCAACTTTTTAGTGGAAACAAAGCACTTGTGAGCTATATTGGCACAAGCATTAAAGATTTCATTGAAAGTGCTACTGCCAAAGAAGTTCATTATCCTTTGGTTGTGACAGCAACAGCACTCACCCGGAACATGCATGAATATGACCATATTCCACAGTTCTGTTTCGTAACATCTCCTGGCAGTCGTCTTATAGTACATTCATACAATGAGATGACCAAAGATTTAATGAACAGGTAAATGGTTATATTTATATGTTCACTTTTAATATATTTTGCATGTTTTTTCCTAGAAGCAGTCTAATTTAACTTTCAAAACACTCTAGGTTCTTTCCTAATAGACTGCCTGTGGATATCATTGACTACAAGTCAAAAGAGTGGCTTGGATACCTTCGGCGTGACATTCCGCCCAGAATCTCATTATTGTAATTGACGAACAAGCTGCCTTTAGGAGAAGAAGAAACAGAGGTAACTATCATTACCTTCTATGCTCTGTTATACATTTGTCAAGGAAGTATATTTGACAAATAAAAAGAAGTTTCAAATTGACTTTTAACAGTAGCAGTGTTTTCAAAAACACCTATTTCTAATTTTTGTATTTCTCCTATATCAAACTATATGACAGATACTCTATCGGTGCAAACTCAAAATAGTCAAATTCGACCTTCGTTCTGTGACCCGTGAAGTTTTCCCTGGAGACACTGAGTATTTCCAAATACCTTTGCTTTTTGATTCCCTATTATAAAAATACTATACATTGACCAAATGCATCTAATCTACATATTTCTTCAGATTATTCTATGAACTGCAGGCTGAATGTGAATCAGGAAATCACAAGGCAAAGGTAATTCTTAATCATGGACCTGCTCTTGCTCTGCTTCGTAAGCCACCGATCGAGTTTAAAAAAATGCCATATGACAAGAGAGTTTAGATGCTGAAAGAATGCTGTAACATCAAATTCATGGCAGAAGTATTCATCATTGGATCAGAATATGAAGTTGAACCACCGATTCGCATGTTTGCAATTTGGCATCCAAAAGCATTTCAACCATTACTAGATCTTAAACTGAACTTATAAACACTGCCCTCATTTTGCAATCCAAGAAGGTATATGTCTTCCCTTTTTTATTTCAAATACAGGGGTATATTGCTATTTATTAACACAACTGAGGCTTTACATTTAATAATTAGCTTCTACTTTTGTTATTATTTCAGGTGGTAAGACTAAGAGATGAATCAGCTGGTTGTCTGAGAAGGAATCAAGGGAATGATAACTAGGAGATATGAATTCCAATGTTATTTTGTGCATTTCATCTTTTCGGTAATAGGAAAAGTACTTTTATATTGTTATTGCGATGTAGTTGTTATATTCTGATTTAGAAGAACAGATACTTATGTTATTTCAAGTACATGTATGTCTTCCATTTAGTTCAGCTCTTGCTACGTATGCAAAACAATATGCACTGCACCTAATTTCCACTTCTTTTTTGTATGTTTTCCACTTGCCTAATTATAAACCACCGAATCCTCAGAGTGATTCATAAACCACTGTTTTTGTATATCATTCAATTACCTAATCAACATATTTATCCACCGTATGCACTGCATTTGTACACCAACTCTATATTTACCCTCACATTGTTAGAATGCAAGGAAAAAACGGGATAATTAGAAGATAAATAAATTGTGACTACCCATACTATAATAGCAACAATGAAAACACGGATATCCCATATTCTCACACTTTCGTGACACCCAGAACATTTACATACCTAATTTTACATCACAAACTATTATACGTTACTCAACTCATCTGCATCCGGCCATAGGGGGAGAATATATTCTAGGTGTGGTTTAAAATTTTGAAACCTAAAATTGACAATTTTGTTTTTCAAAATCACCTTTAAAAGTAAAAATTGGTGTGGTTTAAAAAATGCAACATAGAAATTTAAGGTCTGGATAAGC